CACAGCTGACAGCTTTACCTGTTGTAGTTTGTTCAAGTTGTGCATGAAATAGACGCTGCTTTTCTGTACTTTTACTCGCACGTCTCCGTCATTTCGATCTCTCTCGCGCTGCACAAATGAGCTGTGTTTAGCAGGTGTGCGTCAGAGATGAGGACTGTTTGAAACTCTTTTTTCCACTAAAACTTTGATGCGCATCGTCTCAGTTTAATACGTGAACATAACAAAAGATGTGATCGCAAAACAATCAGGAAAAAAGGCATTACATGCAAATTTTTTTATTTATAACATGTAAATATATTTAGTCGCCAATGGCGACCTCAGCAAAAACTTCACTCGCAAATTAATATTTTTGGTCACAAATGCAACCGTTTTAGTTGCAGTTTGGAGCCCTGCATACACACACACACACAAACACACACATTTTGTCTTTAAATGCTGAATCCCTATTGAAGAACTAAACTAGAACTTTAATTAAGAAAAATCCACTAATTAGTGAAATTTTCTTTGTTCAAACAGTTGAAAAATCACTGCAAAAAGTGTTTTTATTGTGAACACCATGTATATTTTTGATAGTTTTGCAATAAACCTATTTTATTTGCTAAATTAGGCCTACTTAAGTGATAATGTACACAATGCTGATGTGGAAGTAATTTTGTATTTGTTTTAATTAATTTATTTAAAGTTTTTTACCAAAAAGCATTTTCAATGTGAACTCTACAGTATGTTTTTGAAAGTTTGGCTATAAACCTAAAATAGATGATATTTTCTTATCTTTATTTTAATTCTTAAACTATATTTTAAACCTTTAAGGTTTTAATAAATAAATAATAAACTTATACTTGACTTGTCAACATTTTTTAAATTAAACCACTATTTCCACGTTTTCCGCAATGCTTTATGGGTTGAGTAGTTCATTTACTCAGTAGCTATGTTTCCATCCAAAGATGCGAATTTAACTTATGCGCAAAACTGGAATATCGCATAAAACACTTGCGAATAAAGCACCGTTTCCATCCAACGAGTCAAAGAGAACAAAATCGTCACTTCCTGATAAACTGGCACTAAATATCTCTAAGAAAACTAGGAGAAGCCACTGAATATAATAAATTTCATATGTAATAAATTACTTGCGCTTCAGAGAGAACAGACGTAACACAATAAATGCGGTCATTGCTTTTAGACAGTAAGACAATAATTATACAGAAATACTTTGATGACAGACTTTCCTCAGGCATTTCAAAATGACCAAAACAACATATAGATGCTGTGAACGAAATCGGTCCGCTGGTTAGTCAAGTTAGCCTATCCTGTCTCATAGCGCAAAGTCACATTACTTTTTCAATGCGCATGGTGGAATTTATTCGGTAAGTGTGTTTCCACCGTAGTTTATTCACATTTTTTCTTATCGGATAAAAAGTTTATCCTTCTCAGTTGTGTGCATACTTTTTTTTATGCCCATTTTTAGAATTTATGCGCATTTTGGCGTTTCCATCCAGCGTTTTTTAATGCGATAATCCAAAATGCGCATTAAAAAAAGGGGGATGGAAACATAGCTAGTGAATTAAGATATTAAACATCTTTTTTCCCCCCCCTAAAGCCGCTAAAAAAGTGGGTGGTCACCGTTACGCTCTATGTAAACACCAGAGTAGTGTGCTAATGAGAGAGGGAGAGAGAGAGAGTCTTGGAGCTTCTGTGAATCTGCCCCGTGTTCCAGGAAACTACAGCAGTGCACGTAAACACACAGCATGCCTGCAACGGCTCTGTGATGTCACCAGCTGAGAGGAAGGGCGGGAGAGAGAGAGGGAGGGGCAAAGGGTGACGGAGTGAGATACAGACACAGCCGGAGGGAAGAGAGTCAGTGAGAGCGAGACGGGGAATGTGAAAGACAGAGAGAGCCACACTCAGCGCTGTTAGAGGCAGAGAACGCCACTCGTGGGAGTCGCTGCGCGTGTTTCCCGAGAGTCGTAACCCCTCTGGCTCGCTGTCTGCCGTCTCCCTGCTCTGGGCTTGAGGGGCTGATGGGTAAGTGCTGCTGCTGTATGGGCTGTTCTGAATGAGGGAGGTTGAGTGGGCGGACGGGTGTGTAAAGACTGGCTTTATTGCGTGGTGCTGAGATACGCTAACACTCTGGTGTGGGGTGTGTGTGTACACGCACGCTGCATCCTTGAACGCTCCCTGGTGAGTGATGAGAGCTTTTCAATGCACTTTATTGTCAGTCCTTCACTGTATTGTGTGTGTGTGTGAGGTGTTCCGCTTGGCTGTGTTTGTGGCGCAGGGTCTCTGTCCTGGACAATCTGTCTGGTGAGGATGGAAAGTAGGGCTGGGCGGTGTGACGACGGATGTGTCGGCTGGTAAAGATCCTGCTGTACCGTTTATACCGCGGTAGATGCGTCTAGGACTGCGTTACATTCTTTACATAGGAGAGCGGTAAAGAAACATGGATTAATGCAAAATGCAGAGCGGGACGTGTCCCGAACAAGTCAAGACGAGGAACTTGTTATTAAAAGGTGTTTGGCACCACAAAGCGCAGTTTAGTTGTTTAGGGTTGCTGTGGAACATCGTAACTTGCCGCATTAATATGGAATTGAACTGATGAGGTCACATGTGCACGTTTATTGGCTGTTTTACAACGGCTCCGAACGTGGCTCAACCAATCAGAACTAAGAGCCAAAGCTAACTGTTTTTTGTTTTTATTTAAATGTAAATTTTTTTTATTATGAATAATTTAATGTTCTTAGATTAAAATAATCAGAAATAAGAACTTTTTTTATTTTGTAAGTATTTTATTTGTGAGTATTTATTTCACTGGATTATCCCATTATCCAATAGGCATAACCACATGCTTTCTTTAGCATCTAAACTATTTTGATGAATTTACAGTAACCAGTGTTGTTATTGTTAACTAATAGTAAAACTAATTTTGGTATTTTAAAAGTTAGAAATATTTTCTTTGGTAAGTTACTGAGTTAAATAAGTTAAAGTTGAAGTACTAAAATGACTAAAACTGAAATAAAAAATGAATTAAAGCTAAATATAAATATTATAAAAACAAATACTAATATAAAAATGACAAAAGCACATAACAAAATTACAAAAACCTAAAAATGAAAAGAAAATAAAGAAATGAGAAATGCTATAATAGTATATAAATATTAAAACAAACGCTAATAAAAATGACAAAAGCAGACATCAAAATTACTAATACTTTAAAATGAAAAAATTAGAAATGAAAATGAATACTGAAAATATAAAAATAAAAGCTTCAAAACATTAATACTGTAATACTAAATAAATGATACTAAATATAAAAAAACTGTAATAAAAAAATGACAAAAGCAGATAACAAAATTACTTAAACTTTAAAATGAAAAAAACAATTATAATTAAAATCAATACTGAAAATAGAAAAATAAAAGCTACTTCAAAATGTTAATGAATACTGTACTAGCATATGAGTAATACTAAAATAGTGTTTTTCCTGGCTCAAAATGAGGCAGAGGTGGTACCATCCTGATCATGTGCACACATGTACCCATCCTTTAACTGGTGGAAACAAACACTTTGTACACGCAACATATTTTAGGTGTTCTAATAATTAGATGATTGAAGAAAATGATAATTATCAAGTTACATTTTACAAAAACAAACCTGTTGAACATTAAATTAAATACAACATAACAGCTAAAAGGGGCCCTTTTCCAGTCTAAGTGAACATAAACATATTAGGTCGTTAAACACTGCATGAAATTGAAAATATTGATCCACTCCTTATAGTCTCCTAGTCCACATCGCTTTGTTCCAATTTACATTTATCCATTTACTATAAAGTGTCTTTCTAGAAAAGAAAATATTTTACATGAACTTTGAATAACTTTACATGAATTCTTTTGATAGAATGCATCATGAAATTTAATCACAGCAGGTGCATTAGAGCTAACATTAGCATCAAGTTACATTTTTATAAGACTATTTATAAGATTAATACTACGATTTTACTCAAATCTCACTTCAAACCACCAGAGTGTTTGTAATAACTTCCGATTGTGATCTAATGTGGATTTTTGAAATAAGTTATTTCTAACCTTTTATATTTAGCTAATTGCTTAGCATTTCTCATGTAAATGTTCTTTATTGTTATGAAAATACCCCAAATCTCATGAAAATCACATGCAAACTATATACTATCGTGATAGTGTGTTTAATAGCTTCATGTTTCGTGTGTAGAAACGTTTCTCTGCACAGAAAAAAAAATTCTGTAAAATTTACGGTAAAAAACAGCAGCTGTGGTTGCCGGAATTTTACCGTAAAAAATACGGTAGCAACATTTTAGGTTTTACGGTTTTAACTTAAATTTACAGTTAAATACTGTAATTTCATTAACTGAAATAATGTTAATATACCAACCTATTAAAGTACTGAAATCTGTTTTGTACCTTTGTAATACACTGATAACCACCAAAAGCAGGTGGTGATGAGAAAGTCACATGATGAAACAAAGCCCATCACAAGCAGCTTTTAAATAATAACATATATAGAAGGCGCACAGTGTCATTCACACAAACACTAAACACCATCATGGTAACACACATGAAAATGAAATAATG